CTGTTACGTATGTTACACTTTTCAGACAAAACCAGGCCTGACAGAAGCGACAGGTTATATAAGATCAGACGTGTGTTTATGTACCTGAAACAAAAGTGCTGTATGTATTTTTATCCCTTCAGGAAGCTTGTTATTGACGAGTCTTTGATTTTGTTCAAAGGAAGACTCTCATTCAAGCAGTATATACCTAGCAAGAGGAAACACTTGGGTATAAAGTTATTTGTTCTGTGTGATTGCAAAACTGGTCTGGTTTTGGATATAATTGTGTACACTGGCGGTAAAACAATGGAAGATACCAGGAAGTTACTGGGTATCTCTGGTGATGTGGTTAGAACAATGATGGAGCCATATCTTGGTAAGGGGCATATTTTATATACTGACAACTGGTACACAAGCCCTATACTCAGTGATTTCTTGCAAGTGAACATGACAGAAGTGTGTGGCACAGTGTGTAGAAATCGTAAACATATGCCAAGGTTCGAAGCTGGCAGTCGTAGAGGTGAAGTGCAGGTGTTTGCTGCCAATGACATCATGGCATTTCGGTGGCATGACAAACGTGATGTCACACTGCTGACATCAGTTCACCGACACGAAATGGTAGAGACTGGCAAGCAGAATAGAGAGACCAATGAACCTATTGTAAAACCTGCAGCTGTGATGGATTACAACCTCAATATGCGCTTAGTGGACAAATGTGACATGCAGATTGGGTTTGCTGACTGTGTTCGCAAGAGTTATAAGTGGTACATAAAACTGTTTTTCCATCTTCTTGACATTTCCATGCTGAATGCTTATAATATGTATAAGTTGAAGACCAAGAAGAAACCCAAATATGGTGAATTTTGTTTGTCTAGTCATCAGACAAATAATATTCAAGTACCAAGAAACAACACACCTGCAATAGACCAGCGCCCACGAAATTATCAACACATGTCCTCTCGTCTGAGCCTGGTGATCACTACCCCATACCACTGCCTGCTACTACTGCCAAGGAAAAATGCCAGAAGAGGTGTTTTGTCTGTGGACATACCACAAACGCAGAGACACTCGTTTTATGTGTGAGGAGTGTAAGAACACCATTGTGCTTATACCCATGTTTCAAAGAATTCCACAAGCTGCAGCACTTCTAATAAAGTGTCCAGTGATTGTACATATGTATATATATTATAAAACAATCGTAATAAACATTTGTTTATATTGTTTGTTTGTGTAAACAAGTTTTAGCAACATTATAATGATACGAGTGTTTTTGCTATAATTGTGTTACATTCAACGAGTGTATATTTGAACACTGCACAATAATTTGGTCTCACAGGCCACAAAAGTTATGTGAAAAAATAAAATAGTGAAAAAAACAAGAAACCATCGAATACAAGTAAATAAAAGTTTACCGGGTGAGCGGCAGTCGCCGCTGTTGCCGCCAGCAGATCAATTTCAGCAAAGTTCAGGACTCTATATCTCGGTAAGTACTGATGGGAAAAATTTTTTTTTGGGACTAAAACAATCAGAAAAATAATCTTAACATTTTCATAAGAAAAAATAATTTTTTTTTTTTTCGAATATTTTGCGACACCAAGAGACACTTCAGGATTGGGCCCTTCGACAGTCAAAGGGTTAAATGCCCTCTTAGTCATCCTATTTTTCTCCTTTCTTTCTAAATGTCCAAACCACCTCAACAAACCTCTTCTCAGCCACCTGAAAAATAATTTTGATAATTCCATACCTTCTAATCTCTAAAGTACAGACATTTCTGCATAATAACCATACTGCACACTGCCCTCAAACACAACATCTCTGCCTCCAGCCTTCTCTTCTTTGCAATATTCCAAACCCATGCTTCACATCCATACAACAGTGCTGATACCACTATACAGTGGACCCTCGAGTTTCGGCAGCCTCGACTTTCGGGAAATTCGACCTTCGGCGAGTTTTTTTTGGAAAAATTTGGCCTCGAGTTTCGTGAAAAAACTCGTGTTACGGCGACCGTCCGGTACCCGTCCGCCCGTCACCGCGTACACAAAGCCAGTCTCCCACGCCATTCTCGCTCAGTGTGCCATTGTTTACCAACACGTGACCATCACCCCGCGGGTTCATACAATACATTTCATAATAATCCATTGTTTTTTGTGCTTGCAACTGCTAAATAAGTCATCATGGACCCAAGGAAAGCTAGTGCAAGCCCTTTGGTAAATAAACTGAGTGACGGGGATGTGGAAGAGTTGGTGGAGGACCACAGGGAAGAGCTAACCACTGACGAACTGCAAGAGCTTCAACTGGAACAGTATCAGACCACAGCCGAGGAACTTGCTTCAGAGGAGGAGGAAGAGGGAGTGGATGAGGTACCTTCTTCAGTGATTAAGGACATGTGTGGAATGTGGAATGAGTTGCAAAGTTTTGTTGAAAAGTATCACCCTGACCAAGCTGAAACAAGCCGTATCTGCAACATGTACGATGACAAGTGTTGTGTCCCACTTCACGGAAATCTTAAAGAAACGCCAGAAAAAGACCTCTCTGGATAGATATTTTGTGCGCCAGGGGTCCAGTGACTCTCAAGTTGTTCCCAGTGGCATTAAAAGAAGAAGGGAAGTAACCCCAGATAAGGACCTGCTACCTAAAGTCCTAATGGAAGGAGATTCTCCTTCCAAACAATAGTGTACACCTTCCTCCTATCACCTCCTCCCATCTTCCATTCACCCAGAAGTCTTCAGTAAAGGTAGGTGTAATGTTACTATTAATTATTTTAAATGCATGTACTTGATTTCTGATTGTTTTCATTATGCAAATCTTTATTTAATTTGAAAAAAAAATATTTTATTTTAATATTTTTGGGTGTCTGGAACAGATTAATTTTATTTCCATTATTTCTTATGGGGAAAATGGTTTCGAGTTTCGTGAATTTCGACCTTTGGCGGGCTCTCTGGAACGGATTAATCACGAAACTCAGGGGTCCACTGTACTCTGGTACATTTCCCTTTTTGCATCCATAGATAAAGTTTTCTGACTCCACAGATGCTTCAATGCTCCACCTTTTAACCTTCATCAGTTATATGGTTGACCTCATTTCTTATAGAACCATCTACCGACAAGTCCACTCCCAAATATCTGGATACATTTACTTCCACCATACTCCCTTCCTCGAATCTGATATCCAGTCTCTCATTACTTCTGATACTTTCATCACTCTGCTCTTCCCCATGTTTACTTATAATTTACTTGTTTTGCATTCCTCCCAAATTTGTTAAACAACCTTTGTAACTTTTTTTCAGAATCTTCCAAAAGAACCATGTCATTTGCAAAAAGCATCTATGACAACCCCGACTCTGTACTAGATTCACTTTCATTCAATCCCACACCCTTCCCAACACCCTAGCATTTACTTCTTTGATGACCCCATCTATAAATATATTAAAACACCCATGGTGACATCACACATCCCTATCACAGGCCTACTTTAACTGGAAAATAATCTCCCTCTCTCTCCTACATACCTCAGCCTGAGCTTCACTATCCACATAAAAGATCTTTAATGCTTTAAGTAATCTGCCACCTATTCTATACATTTTTAACATCTGCCATATTTATTCCATATCCACCCCGCCCATAAAATACGTGCTAAAGGAATAACTGGGAAAGTGGGGAGATGGATCTTCAACTTCCTAACAAATCGAACACAAAGAGTAGTGGTCAACAGAGTTAAATCGGAGGCTGCCATAGTGAAGAGCTCTGTTCCACAAGGCACAGTACTCGCCCCCATCTTATTCCTTATCCTCATATCAGACATAGACAGAGATATACACCACAGCACTGTATCATCCTTTGCGGATGATACTAGGATCTGCATGAGGCTGTCATCTGCTGAGGACGCGGTTAACCTCCAAGAAGATATAAACAAAGTTTTCCAGTGGGCAACGGTAAACAATATGATGTTCAACGAGGACAAATTCCAACTACTCCGTTATGGAAAACTGGAGGAGATAATAACTAGAACAGAGTATACTACTGACTCCGGCCATACAATAGGGCGGAAAAATAATGTAAGGGACCTGGGAGTAGTAATGTCTGAGGATCTCACTTTCAAGGATCACAACAGTGCCACGATCGCACGTGCAAAGAAAATGATAGGATGGATAATGAGAACTTTCAAAACGAGAGATGCCAAGCCCATGATGATCCTTTTCAAATCACTTGTTCTCTCTAGGCTGGAATACTGCTGTACATTAACATCTCCATACAAAGCAGGTGAAATCGCAGATCTAGAGAGTGTACAGAGATCCTTTACTGCACGTATAAGTTCTGTCAAGCACCTTAACTACTGGGAACGCTTGGAAGCACTTGACCTGTACTCGTTGGAACGCAGGAGGGAGAGATATATCATAATCTACACTTGGAAAATCTTGGAAGGAATGGTCCCAAATCTGCACACAGAAATCACTCCCTACGAAAGTAAAAGACTGGGCAGGCGATGCAAAATGCCGCCAATAAAAAGTAGGGGCGCCATTGGTACACTAAGAGAAAACACCATAAGTGTCCGGGGCCCAAGACTGTTCAACAGCCTCCCATCAAGCATTAGGGGAATTGCAAATAAACCCCTGGCTGCCTTCAAGAGGGAGCTGGACAGATACCTAAAGTCAGTGCCGGATCAGCCGGGCTGTGGCTCGTACGTCGGACTGCGTGCGGCCAGCAGTAACAGCCTAGTTGATCAGGCCCTGATCCATCGGGAGGCCTGGTCATGGACCGGGCCGCGGGGGCGTTGATCCCCGGAATAACCTCCAGGTAACCTCCAGGTAACCCTATCATATACCTTTTCCATATCCATAGATGCAATGAAAAGTTCCTGACTTTCATCTAAAGTGCTTCATTATAAATACCCTTGGTCTACACACACACACACACACACACACACACACACACACACACACACACACATAAAAAAAAAAAAAAAATCTTCTATTACAATGGTTCACTGAAAGGCACAGACAACATTTCAAAAACATACAAACCTTTATATTCAACACTGGGCAGATTCATAGGGCCTGGGACTATTTTCGGCTGCACTATAGCTAACTTCTCATGCTCAGCCGCTGCTATCTCATCCTGGGCCTGTAAAGTTGAAAGTCATTACATTTCAAAAACATTTTACACTACACACATAATTACTACTAATTAAAATCAACAAAGGTTTACAGCATTATTCATATAAGTATCACATGATGTTACCAATAGTGCTAAACCTTCAGGATGTACAACTAATTACAATGGACACAAAAATAAAGATATGTAATGTTTTATGCAAAAAAAAAAAAAAAAAAAAAAAAAAAAAAAAATTCTTGCAATTACCAAAAGCAAACTGAAAACACACAGAAAATGTACACAAATTAGGGGAAGCATTAAATTACTGAAATCACTTTGTAATTTAAAACTTATATTTCAGGAAGGAAAAACATCCTGTCACAGGCCAAGAATCCACATACAATAATTTTACACTGTAGCCATATAATTCATGATGGGTGCAGCAAGAAATAATTCTAACTCAGGTAAATAGTTTATTATATAATCTTTGACAGAAAAGGAACTTATGAGAAATTGAACAACTGGTGACACAATAATGAAAATTCTGTAGTGAAAATTAAATAATAAACTACACCTGACCAACAATATAGATGAAAAGGCTTTGCTGATTCACAGATCATTCTGACCCACAACTTACCATTAACAAGGTGCTTGACTGCATAGTACTCATACTCTACTAATAAAAAGCAATGAAAGAGCAAGAAAAGTAGCCAGCAATAATAGTACCATGTCCAAAAACAAAACTTAGAAAAAAGTGACATCAAAACCCAACACCACCAAAAGCCACTTAGGAAGACATGAAACATTGCAGGTAGCCTCCTTTCAGAATTAACAATGCAGGCAATACTCGAAGAGTTCTTTGACACCACTGCAACAGTTCAATTTTCAAATTTTCTAAACGTGACAAGATGACAGATAAGTGTTGCTCATTACACAATATGACAAACGTTCTACCTTCACGTGCTCAGTCTCATGTGCCACTGTTGAGGCTTTGAGCTTAGACACACTATCCTGGCATTCTGTAAGCTCAGCAACAGTGTTTGCTAATTTGATGTTCAGAGTATCCACATTGGTCTTCAAAATCCCATTTCTTGATTTTTCCTGGAAGGGGTTTGAGGATTGCAATCTAATTAGAGATTTTAAAATGAATACAAGATGGCCACTGACTTATGGTGCCAAGGGCAATGCCATAGTCCTACACTTATAACAGTTATCACCAAACAATAATATTCATACCCACCCCAACACATGCTCTTAAAGTAATCCAAGAAAGATTGAGAGAAAGTAATCTTCCCAGAAAAAGTAAACTCAAAACACCATATCCCAAGACACACACACACAATTCACTTGCAGCTAAAGGCATATAAAGGCATAGTATGTTAGAGCTACTGCATGAAAGTCATAACCCTTCTGACAATCATTGTACCTTCTGCTCCTTTGCTTTAAGAGATTTTGCCAAGGTTTCAATGTCAGAAAACTTATCCTGGCATGCAGTCAATTCACCGAAGGTTTGGGTAACTTTCTTCTTAAGAGAGTCCACGGAGTATTGCAGTGCGCTGCTTCTGGATTTTTCCTGCAATGGTGTTAGGCTCAAGCTTCAACATAATTTTGCAACTTACTCTGAAACATGCTAATTTTTTTTCCTGTATCTTCACCAAATTAATACTTTTTTCTTCCCTGTATGATTACTGCACCTCGATATGGCCCTCCTTATCTTGATGCCTTACTGCATTATAGAAACGTATTTTCCTAGGCTTCATTGTATGCAATTCAGAATTTACATTTTCAGTGGAACAATGATATTTAAAGCTATGCAATAAGATCACAGTAAACAAGTGATATCACAATATGCATTTAAAGCTATGTTCATCACATTCTGATCATGATCAATTCTAAAATAAAGCATTATATCTCAATGAGATTAATAATACATTATAAATGAAGTAAATAATGAGAAAAGTGGATAATAAAATCACTTGAAATAAACATTTTGAAAATATATGCACAAGAGATAATATTTCAACTCTAATAATGAAATTAGAGCTTTTCTAATCATAAATTTTTATTAAACATGAGCTGGTAAATGGTTTAACTTAACTGTAATAACAAAAAACATTTTACACAGGCACTCACACAGGCAGAAGTAGTATAAAACATATAAAGATAAAGATTTATTTCTTTGTAAAGGTTACAATTTGCAATTACAATTTTGGTTTGCTAAGTACAAAGAATGCTACTATCATGCCGCGGCATTTCGGGCAGACTAATCCCAGTACTACATAGTAACTACTTAAATCTAGACGAGATAATAGTGGTTAACTTTATTACAATCTTATTTAATCTTAATATTAATGCGAAGAATTCGAGGTGGAGGTTTATAAGAATAATAATCTTGAAGTTGCACATAATAAAAACAATATTACAATTAATGGTTCAGGCAGTAATATTTCATGGATTGTGCAAAGAAGTCAAAATAATGCATTTTTAAAAGGAAAGTTGTGAAGTAACAGTATTACATGAGAAGAAAATTGGAAGGACTTGCACAATAGAGGAATTGCTGAAAAAGGCATTTATTCGTAAAGCTTCATGTCCTCTGATTCAAGTGTGAGGTTTCTCTTCATTTACACAGTAGTACAACATTACACATCACTGCACAACATCACTCCACATAAAAATCACTATATATCAACTTCACTACACAAAAACATCACTACATATCAACTTCATTACACACAAACATCACTACACAACATCACTACACATCATCACTACACATCATCACTACACAACACCAATACACATTTATATCATTACACATCTGTACACAAAAACAACACCATCACTACATATCAAGAACACCATCACTATATATCAACAACACCCGTAACTACACATCAACAACACCATCACTATACATCAACAACACCATCGCTACACAACAGCAACACCGTCAATACACACCACCACCATCGCTACACATCAACATCATCATCACTACACAACAACACCATCACTACACATCAACAACACCATCACTACACATCAACAATACCATCACTACACATCAACCACTCCATCACTACACATCAACAACACAGTCACTACACATCAACAACACCGTCACTACACAACATCGTCACTACACATCAAGATAACTGTCACTACACATCAACAACACCATCACTACACATCAACAACACCATCACTACACATCAACAACACTGTCAGTAAACACTTTACAGAATTACTGTTACATTTTGCCTACATCATTCATCATCACAAGTGGTCTTCCTCTTCACAACAACTCATCCACAATAAATATTCATCACTACTTTTCACTATCGCACTCACATGACTAATATTCAATAATTCGAAGCTGACTATATACAGTGGACCCCCCGTATACGATATTAATCCATTCCTGAGAGCTCATCGTATGCCAAAGTTATCGGAAGGCGAATTAATTTTCCCCATAAGAAATAATGGAAATCAAATTAATCCATGCAAGACACTCAAAAGTACTATGAAAAAAAAAGTTTTACCATATGAAATATTAAGTTTAATGCACACAAACTGAAGAAGACATGCACAATTAGTAGTACTCTACTAACAATAGAATACATGACACTTACCTTTAATGAAGATCTGGTGATGATTGATGGGGTGGGAGGAGGGGAGAGTGTCGAAGTTGTTAATGTTTAGAAGGGAAATCCCCTTCCATTAGGACTTGAGATAGCAAGTCCTTTTCCGGGGTTACTTCCCTTCTTCTTTTAATGCCACTAGAACCAGCTTGAGTCACTGGACCTCTGTCGCACAACAAATCTGTCCATAGAGCTCTGTACCTCCCGTTCCTTTACGATTTGTCTAAAATGGGCCACAACACTGTCATTGTAATAGTCACCAGCACGGCTTGCAATAACTGTGTTAGGGTGATTTTCATCCATAAAGGTATGCAGTTCAACCCACTTTGCATACATTTCCTTAATTTTTGAAGTAGGCACAATGGATTCCACAACTGGCATAGGCTTCTCAGGGTTAGCCCCAAACCCTTCAAAATCTTTCTTAATTTCCATACTAATTCTCACCCTTTTTACCACAGGGTTGGCACTAGAAGCTTTCTTGGGGCCCATGGTGACTTATTTTGCAGAAACAAGCACCAAAAACACTGATAATATGGAATGTACCGAATGTATGCTTAGATGCGAACACACTGGCTGGCTTGTAAACATTGGCACTCACGTGGACACGTCCCGGACAAATTGCGTGTGGCGGGTTTTTTAATGAGTGGCGATGCAAAATTTTTGTGTTAAAATGTATCGAATACCGGATTTAACGTATACCGATGCCATCGAATACCGGGAGTCCACTGTAATCGTTTGACTGACTATTGAGAATATATCCCGGGGTTGGCTGACTACTAAGATATATTTGGATTTTCTATTAGTAAATCTATATATAAAGCAGTTGGCTGATTGGAAAAGCTTGAGTGCTCCCTTTCATCATGCCTGGTTCTTCCTCTAAGTCAGTTGCTTAGAGAACGATGGATTGGTTCAAGACATACACACGCCGACTTCGTGAAAAGTCTGTTGATTCCAAGTGGATTCTGGAAAATGAAAAACACCTGAAAATTAAGGACCTAGGTTATGGAGGATGTGGTAAGACCCAGCTCTGGAATCTTCCAGGACACGACAGCCCAGTGGTCCTCAAAAATATCTTTGATCCTAATACTCGAGAAACGGATTGTCTGCACGAGGCCCAGATCCTAGAGGGGCTTAATGGTGCAAGTGGAGCTCCCAGACTTCTGGGTCGGTCTCCTGAGATAGGATGTTACTTATGTCTTTCATCATCAAGAACTTGATTAACATCCACAAAAAAGGCATTGTCCATATGGACCTTAAACAAAACAATGTGATGGTGGATAGAACAGACCCAAAATGTCCAAAAACCTCTATAATTGATTTTGGACTTTCAACCCGCCCAGGCCAGCCCTGGGTTTTTGGTGACTACGAAAAGAACCGCATCAACAAGTTTTTGGAGTGTAGCCCCTGGACCTGCTATGAAGCTGCTATGGGTCAGCCTGTCATGACAAAAAATGATGTGGTGGGAGTCGCCCTTCTCATCAAACAGGTTATTGGGATAATGGATCGTAAGCCCCACTAGTTGATGACCCTGGCCCTGAAGGGCCTCAGCCGGGACCCAAAGGAAAGACCTGTCCTCAATCAAGAAGTACCTCCGAACAACGCAAAAAATCATTAAGCTCTTCACTGCTAAATTTGGTTGAGCTCGCATTTCTTTTGTTTTTTATTTGTTATATATATAAAAAAAATAAACAGGAACATGAAGAGCAGCCACCTCCACGTGGTAAGTTCTAGGTACCTTGTGTGACTGTGAGTACTTGAACACTCATGTGTGACTGTTGCTACATCATGTGTGAGTATGGAGTAGATGATCAGTTACACAAAGTAGCTGAGAGCTGCTCACACTATATGTCTGGATCTAGAGAATATGTTTAGATGGACAACATATCTATTTCTGGACAATGTATTGTCTATGTACCAGGGTACCATCACCCAAGAACCAGATACTGAGTTCACTGGAGAGTGTTTCTCTGATTTCCTTGACCAGGCAAAACAGACAAGGGGGTGAGAGAGTGTCACTATTGCACTAGTTCACATGAGTCAATTTTATGTTTTCCAAACAGGAGTTTAGAAGTACCACTATAGGAGGGAAGGGGTGAAGGTGGTTTTGTGGGTGAGGGGCTTGGACTTCCAGCAAACGTGCGTGAGAGTGTTAGGAGTGAATGGAGAAGAGTCATTGTTGAGACCTCACAAGCTGTTGGAAAAAGAGGAGGGTAATATTTTGTGAAGGGATTCAGGAAAACTGGTTAGCTAGACTTGAATCCTGGAAGTGGGAAGTACAATGCCTGCACTTCAAAGGAGGGGTCTGGGATACTGTCAGTTTGGAGGGACATCTGAACTGTTGTACCTGAGTGCCTCTGCAAAGACAGTGATTATGTATGAGTGATGGTGAAAGTGTTGAATGATAATGAAAGTCATTTCTTTCTTTTTGGGTCACCCTACCTCAGTGGGAAACAGTCAACGTGTCAATAGTATAGGCAATGGGGTAGAAGATGTATGGGTAAGTTTAAGAATATAGTGTTAGAGTGTTCAGCAGAAGTTTGTGGTTACAGGAAAGTGGGTGCGGGTGGGAAGAAGAGCGATTGGTGGAATGATGATGTAAGAAGAGCAGTAAGGGAGAAAAAATTAGCACATGAGAGGTTTTTACAAATTAGAAGTGATGCAAGAAGGGAGGAGTATTTGGAGAGATAAAGAGAGGTTAAGAGAGTGGTGAAGCAATGTAAAACGAGAGCAAATGAGAGAGTGGGTGAGATGTTATCAACAAATTTTATTGAAAATAAGAAAAAGTTTTGGAGTGAGATTAATAAGTTGAGAAAGCCTAGGGAATGAATGGATTTGATAGTTAAATATAGGAGAGGAGAGTTATTAAATGGAGAGTTAGAAGTATCAGGAAGATGGAGGGAATATTTTGAGGAATTGTTAATGAAGATAGAGA